GTAGGTAAAAAAAATCTCGAATAAAAACTTTAAAAATAGAATTCAGTATATACAGCGTCTTTCAAAAATGCAGTTGGTTACTTAACTGTTGGAGGACATTGATCATATATTCCTGTACCTAGATTTTTATACACAATGTTGACCACCATGACAAGTCCTCATTAAGCTACTGATCCAATTGAGCAAGTCTTTGGCCCGAGTTCAGTCAGATAGACCATTGAGACGTAAAACCCCTTCTTTCAAAGTTGGTTAAGAGATTGGTACATTTAAATAAGAAACTAAAATAATGACACCTTCCCTTCATACTTATCTCTTATTTTAGGCTCAGGATTTGAAACTACCAGCTGGTAATAAATATTGTAAAGAATCTGCAGTCAACACACACTCTTTTATATAATTAATAGGATTGCTTGGACGGTTTATCTGCTTTAAGTTCTGAAAATCTCTTTATCCTCTATCTGCAAGAACACTAATCACTTGAAACGGACAAGGCTGAGGGAGCTTGTTTTAAAGCCGGTTTTAAAAATTTTTTTTGCATCAAATTCTATTGCTATAGTCTCTTGGGCTTTTTTCTATGTCTTATTTTGACTATTTCCCTTTGAGGTATTGCAAATGGCATTTCATATCTACTTGAATATTAGGTGAGTTGTATTTTCTGGTGAGATAAGCATTTCAGAAAGGCTTTTTCTGTTCATTCTTTGGCTGAATTTTGGCAGGCCCAGGAAACAGGAATCCAGTTTACTGAGATTGGAGAAGCGTTGCCTCTGGGTTTCTCCCCGTGATCTGGTTAAGAGTCTTTGATTACCAGCCATTGAAATGGGCTGGCTACTTTAAGCAGAGGAAACTTCTTGGAAAGATAGCTAAGGTCTGCAGAATGAGTGGATGGGACCAGCAATTAGCATAATGGCTATGTCTCTGAACTCCCATGTAGTCAACCATGGTTCGAGTCCCTGACCTTGTGGCTTAAACTCACGCCGCGTGCATGTGTATGCGTGCCCAAGATCCCGAGAGGAGAATGGAGGAGAAGGGATTGCGGTATGGCCATGCCCCCTGGGGGGTGATTTCTTGCTTTCTGTCTCTCTGTCTATCTCTGTCTTTCTGGCGAGCACACGTGCCCTACAGCAAAAATATCTCCAAAAAAAAAGAAGAAGAATCAGTGGATGGCTGAAAGTCAGGCCTGAGCAGAGGCTGGGAAGCAGGAAGCCCAGCAACAGCCTTGCAGGGGGAACAGGGTGGCTGGGGTGGAATAGAGTGTCAGACCCCAGGTAAATTGGCCCAGGCTGCTGGATGTGTCCACACTTGCTAGACATGGGTGGGACCCTCTGTTACAGTACCCTGGGCTCCATCCAAGTAGAAAATGTAATTTTTTGGGGGAGAAGGAGAGGTTTTTGCTATAGGGCGCATGTGCTCTCCAGAAAGACAGAGAGAAACAGAGAGACAGAAATCGAGTAATCACCCCCCTGGGAGATGGCCATGCCCCAATCCCTTCTCCATTCTCCTCTCGTGATCTTGGGCACACACACACATGTGCCTGGCATGAGTTTAAGTCACCAGGTTTGGGACTCGAACCACAGTTGTCTACATGGGAGTCCAGTAACATAGCCATTACACCAACTGCTGGGCCTGAAAGTGTAATTTTTTAAAAGGAAATAAAGAGGCAGCTTAAGAAAAGAAAGCATACCGGGCAGATACTTTTCCAGTGCTTTGCTCCTCCTTAGCAACTTCAAAGTAGTCTCTAGCCTTAAAAATCGACCGAGATGGGGCCATGAGGTGGTGCAGCAGCAACACTGAACTGTCGTGGGAAAGGCCCTGGGCTCTTGTCCCCAGGACTTCCTGAGCATGCTGGGCATGCAGGTGCAGGCCTGGGCCCAGGGCCAGCTGAGACTGGAGTGGAATGCAGTGTGATGACCTGGTGAAGTGCCTGTCTCTATTTCTCTCATGGAAGAAATAAAGAAAAAACAATTAAATGGGACAGCTGATGGCATGGTGGATAAGGCAGCTGGATTTATCTATTAACATGGCCAAGTGCATGGTTCGAGTCCTGGACCCAGAAGCTTGAAAAAAACACTGGTTGTGTGTGTGTGTGTGCCCCAAATCCTAAGAAGCCAATGAAGGGGACCAGCAGTTAGAGTAATGGCTATGTCGCTGGACTCCCACGTAGTCGACTGCGGTTCGCGTCCCGGACCCGGTGGCTTAAAACTCATGCCAGGCGTGTGTGCGTGCGTGCCCCAAGATCCCGAGAGGAGAAGGGATTGTGGCGTGACCATCCCCTTTGGGGGGTGATTTCTCGCTTTCTGTCTCTCTGTCACTCTCTGTCTGTCTGGCAAGCACATGTGCCCTATGGCAAAAACCTCTTTTTAAAAAAAAAAAAAAAGAATAAAAAAAATAAGAATTAAAAAAAAAAAAAGAAGAAGCCAATGAAGAAGGGATTGCTGCGTGGCCATCCCTCCTGGGGGGTGCTTTATTACGTTCCCTCTGTCTCTTTCTCTGGCAAGTGCATGTATCCTATAGCAAATATATATATAAAATAAAATGGAGAGTGCCTCTATAAAAGCCTTTTGAGATTGCCACATCCTAGGGATGTTTACTGCTATGAATGCCTGCAAAACCAGTAAATGATACTAGGGCAAGAGTAAAGACATTGACGGGCACCTGTGAACATCGGGCTATGTGACTGTACTAGTTATCTTTTTCACTACATGACAGTGCTACCTCAAACTTAACAGCTCAGAATAGCAAACATTCGTTATCTGTCTCTGTGGGTCAGGAGTCTGGGCATGGTTTGTCCTCTGCTGAGGGTCTCACATGACTGCAGTTATGGTGGCAGGGCTGTAGTCTCATCTGTAGCTCATGTGGTGAAAGGTTCGCTCTAAGTCCACTCAAGGTTTTGGTAGCATTTGGTTGCCTGTGGCTGCTCTGTGTAGGACTGAGGATTTCAGCGTCTTGCCGGTTGTTGGCTATAGACTAGCTCAGTTCCGAGAGATTGTCCTCTGTTCTTCGCCTTGTCGGGTTTCCTTGAAGTGGCTGCTTTGATTCCACAAAGCTAGTAAGGGAAAGAATCCAGTCAGATGCACCAGTCTTACGTAATGTAATCCTGAACTCATACACGACCAGTTAACTTTACCGTGCCCTATTGGTTAGAAGCAAGGCACAGGTTCCACTCATACCCACACGGGATATGAACACCAGGGGTTGGAGATCATGGGTTAATTTACTGATTTGTAAGAGTGGCCATATTGGAACCATCCTCAGAGCTGCTTTGAAATCTAACATTTCTCCTTTCTTCCTGATTATTCCTGAGAGGCGCTTTATGTGAATTGATGAAGGGAACAATAAACAGCCTTGGCCTCCAATCTCTAGCTCAGCCTGAGAAGGGGCATGTGAGAGGTCCCATTTCCTCAGCGTTCTTCTGGGTTGGTATTTCTCCCATAGTTCTGTATATGCAAATCTAGTAGGCTCTGTAGAACTATGTATTTTGTAACTATTTGACAACTTACCTCATTTATTTATTCACATGTATTGTCCTTCTCAACTGTTATAAGTACCTTCAAGTCTAGGCCACACCTCCTATCATGCCCCAGTCACATGCCCTCCAAATGAAATAAAAACAAAGGCAAATGGGGCCAGCTGGTGGTGTGGTGAAGGCGGCTGGATTTCACACTAACTCTGTTGTTTGAGTCCCAGACATGGCAGTTTGGAAAACATGCTGGGCACATGTGCACGTACCCATAATCCCAAGAATGGAGAAGGGATTATGGCATGGCCGTTCTTCTCTGGGAGGTGCTTTCTCACTTTCCCTCTTTGTCTCCCTCCAGTGAGCACATGTGCCCTATACCAAATTCAAAACAAAACAAAAATAACAAGGGCAAAGGCACTTCAGAGGAAATGGCTCATTGCTTTTCTAGTGGTATCGAGAAAATGAGTCTTTGGGTCAATGTGAACATTTGCCCTCTTTCAGCTATACTTGGTTGTACAAACAAAGCATGTATATTTGAAAGGGGTGACGTTACGGATGCTGATTTCCCTGAACAACATGCCTGGCTTCTATTAGAGCTGCCAGACATGCATTTGCATGCAGATGCGGAAAAGGACAAAGTCTGACAGACACGGCCGAGTCCTTGTTTACAGCAGTGGTGTCCATGGGCTTGTTCCTTTAACCTTGGGAGCCCCCGTGACCCAGTCTTAGCCCATAGAGACAATGAATTTCAAATATGTAGGACAGTGCCTAACATAGTAAATAAACGTGTAGGAAATAGGGATCATGATGGACCAGAGAAAGCACTTTGTCAAATCTCAAGGTTCGATTTGTCTCATAACATGGAGGTCAGAGACATGCACACTTAACACACAGTAGCTCATTCCTTCTCTTGGAGCTCAGGGGAGTTTAGTGTGGTGGTTTCCTTTGTGTGGAGGAAGTTAGAATCCTTACTGCTGTTTTGCTAGGCCTGGAGCTGGACCATCTAGAAAGTGTGGACAAGGATTGGTCACAGACCATCCTCTGGAGAGCAGGAAGTTGGGCACGGTTGCTGGTCATGCCAGTGCAGGGTAGGGAGTATTCCAGCTTCGGCTTTTCATTTCCAGTCTTCCAGGTGTGGTCAAGTACACAGGAATTAGCTGCATGGCCAAGCAAGGGCTTCTCTGGGGCCATTTTCACTTTTGTAGGAGCAGAGCAATAGCAAGGTTCAAAGGAGAAAGGGTGGTGGAAATAGTCCATCAGCTGCACAGGAGGGAGCCCAGGGTATATTCCTCTTGCAAAGAATTTGCCTCTGAAGTCAGATAAATCTTAATTTTCTCCCATCAGTGCCTTAACTGGCCAAATGAAAATATTAACTACGTTTTAGAAAAGTTTTAATTTGAACAATTTATGATCAAAAGTACATTTTATAAATAATTTTTCCATAGACTTGATTGACGATTGTTGCAAACTTTACAAAAAGACAGGCTGCAACAACAATGGATTAAAATATTACAAAAAAATATAGCTATAGCTTTCCTATGGAAAAAAATACAACATGATATGTCACACAGCGTTTTCTTTGTGCAAAAAGTTTAAGAGAATGCTGTGTGAGACATGTCACACATATTCACTCACAGGGTAGTAAACTTTAATAGTTACTTTGCATAATAGTATAGGCACAGTTGAAATAATGAATCTTTTCCCCCTAGAAGTTAATATACCTTAGTTCAACATTGTACTTTTATTTTGTAGGATTGAAGGCTGGACTTAGCTTTGTACAAATGTGTGTGTGTGTGTGTGTGTGTGTGTGTGTGTAAGTATGAAAACAAGTATCTCCTTTGACATTGAGTAAACCTGAACATATTTACAGAATTTTCCAAGAAATCTGTTCTCCAAATCAGTTTGGGTACATTTTCGCTATTAAATTAATCTTCTCTTCAGAAAATTAGACTAAGCCAACAGCTTTCAATTAGTGGACATCCTCTGTCGAAACTTCCAGTTTCCGCTGTGGGACAAAGAGAGTTCCCAAAGAGGTTTTGTTAGCACCATCAGAATCCATGCAGGAGGAGCTGGTTGGCTTGGTCGGGCCTCCTGGAGTACGGAAAAAACTTTCGGCCACCAACTGCGATCCTTTGGGTGTCACGGGAACCGGCTGATTGGAAAGACAGGAATGGAATCAAGTCAAACTTACACAGATAATGTCCCGGGCGGATATGGAAGACGGGGCTAGAGGGATACAGTAAATGTCGGGAAACTAAGGTATCTTGAAGGGAAGCCTTGATGGGTTTTACAGTCTCTATTATTTTTGTTCAGGGGAGACATGACTCTCATGAGAACCCAATGACATGGACCCCCTTGGGCACTCTTCCTGGGTTGTGGAAGGAAGGCAGGCTTTCCATCCCCTCACTCTCCCATCCATTTGCTCTTCCA